TAAATCCCTTGCCAGATACGTAATTATCAGCAAATATGAATTTGTTGCTGTCATTTTTGTCATGTGCTTTTTCATTGTGTCGATTTCTTTGTTCCATATAATTTTCTATGCTGAGCTCGTTTTGTTTATGAATCATGTTATCACTTCCTTCATTGTTGTTGTTTTAGTATTTGCAGAATATTTATGCTGGTCCTCTTTTTTTTTTTTTTATGTGAAGGTTTATCATTTTTCTTTGATGTTACCCTGTGATTTATGGTTTTCTTTCCAAGTTTAGAACAGTCCATTCTATCTTGTAGTTGTCTTAACCTCTGTACCATCTAGAAGTTTTGTAATGACATAGTTTTTTCCCTCTTTTTGGTTTGTAGTTGTCCTCATTAGTCAATTGATGTCTCTGGTTCCCTGGTTACAATATTGTAGGCTTATTTACTTTGGATACTTCCATAGCTGGGTTGGATTCTGGGTTATATCATCATGTGTGTTGATCGTCAGTTGTTGTTGGCTGTAGTTGCTTCTCTGTCCAAAGAGCTCCTTTTAGCATCTCCTGTAAGGTTGGTCTGGTTTTAACAAATTCCCTTAATTTCTGCTTATCTGGAAATGTCCTAATTTCACCATCATATTTGAGGGACAGTTTTGCTGGGTACGTAATTCTTGGTTGGAAATTTTTCTCTTTCAGTGTTTTGTATATACCATCCCACTCTCTTCTCACCTACATGGTTTCTGTTAAGAAATCCACGCTTAGTCTTATTGGTTGCCCTTTGTAGATAACTTTTCATTTTTCCCATGTTGCTCTCATGATACTTTCTTTATCTTTGGTTTTGGTGAGTTTGATGATGATATGTCTTGGTGTTTTTTTTTAGGGGGTCTATCCTGTTTGGGGTTTGTTGGACTTCCTGAATGGATATATCCTCATCTTTCTCCATATCAGTGAAGTTCTCCCCTAACAAATCTTGGACAATTTTCTCAGTGGTTTCATTTTTGTCTTCCTGTTCTGGAATTCCAATGACATGTAGGTTATTCCTTTTGATGGTATCCCACATGAACCTTAGGCTTTCTT